CCTTCCACCGGCCCTGCCCATTATTGACATAGGGTTACATTGGATATCATCACACACAGAGCCTCACTGATTCTTTCACACAATCCTATGCAAATATGGGAGGTTGCAGTTTGACAAATTACTTTGACCATTTTGAGGGGAGGGGGAAATGTCACTGAACCAGGTCACCAGGATATGACTCAAAGGGGGATCAGAGTAACAATGTGGTAGACAAAGAAATGGGGTTTCCTAGTCTGTTTTGTGAAAGAAGGGAAAAGGTGAGATCTCTGTGACACACAGGCCCATTTGGTGGTTTACTACTTTGAGTCAGCAACTCATGTCAGACCTGACATATACACACAGTTGTCATGATATATACCAAAAGGTGGCATGTACTATATCATTGCAAAACTAATATCTTGTGTGATATATGTATGGGTTATGTCCAAAGAGCTCTTGAAATCACAGAACGTTGGGTCCTTCAGCCAAGGGGATTGAAGTCTCTGGGAACTGAATGTAGGTGAGAAACCTGCTTAGGCAAAGATTGTAACTTGCTAAAATTAAATGTTACTCTAAGAAGCATATTTTTACTTTTGTTTGTGTTTTACCCTTTCTATCTTTATCCCCTATACTTGAACTCACTTAAAAACCTCTCTCTTGTTTGAGTAAATATACTTGTTTTACTTGTACTATAAACCAGTTCAATGCTGTGATTGAAATAGGAGTGTTTGTCAAATCCCAGTTAAATTAATGAGCTGCAGTGTATTACTCTTTAAAGGAGCAACAAACGTAATAAGGTTCTGTGGGTGCTACAGTCAAGAGGACTGGACGCTGCAGAGCAGATGGTTTGGGGGAAATTGGGGACTGGGAGAGTGTTGACGTCACCCTGCAAAGAGGGCGGGGGAGGCCAGGGTGTGACCTGCACACTTGTCTGCTGGCTATTGGTGTCAGGGATGTGAGCCACTGCAACGTAGCCTTTAAGGCACCCAGAGTTGCAGGGCAGGCAGTGAGGCAGCCTCTTACTTGTTTGGTTTGAACCCCAAAATGTCACAATCTCCTTGGATAGTTACTGCTAGTGCTTTGTTTTATGTTATGTTATGGAGGTTCAAATCTGTCCTCGTGCACATGAAAGCAATTCCCTTCAAAATCACTTTACTGCCAGCTTCTATACAGTGCTTGCTATACATTTGTGTTTTCGGCTCTTAAGTGCAAATGAATTTTACTCTGGTTGTCATCACATTTCAGTCTCGTGTATTGAATAAATTGTTAGTTGGACAGTGTCACCTGTTTTCAATTTCAGAACCTATATTCAGAGGCCAAGTCTGTTTGGTATTTGGCTGCACTGAAGTATGTTTTCATGCCAGCATAATACCGATGTTTCTATTGGAAACAAATACAAATACTAGAAGAAGTCAGCACCGAGACATATAGTAAACCTTTTCGCAGAATGGATAGTCCTTGTTTATTTCCCTGTCCTTGAAAAGATTGTAAGAGTGGTTCAAGGTGATGTGGATTACAGACAGTCATATGGGAACATGATTTTTGGTAGTACTCAGAATTAAAATGCTTTTGGCAGCCATCCTTGCTATTTAGACATGATTTCAGTATCTCATTAAGTTCTATGGGTGTGCAGGATTTCGAAGGAGTGCTAGTCTTTGTTCACACCAATTGTGGATTACGCATGTACTGCAAGGGAAGTGTCCTCTCAGCTTTTTTTAAATGAAGAAACCGAGGCTATAGACATGGCCAGTTCAGAAGCTATTTGGCCTTGGCCTAATGGTTATTAGCTCAGTTGGCACAGCCATCAAATTTGCTTTTGTCTTCTCTGTTATAAAACTGTCATTCTTCAAGCTTACAGATTAATTTAGCATTATGAATGAACTTCTCAGTACAGGATCCCTTTTCAGTGGGTAAAAGGCAGGGCAAGAACTGGAGGTAAAGATGCAGTTGTGGATTTTGCACACTCAAACATGTCTGGACTAATGCCAAAGCAGGCTGTGTATTTCTTGTTATACTATAAACAAACTGAATATAATGTTATCACTACTTGTTTTGGTCAAAGGTTTAGTGTGTGTGTGTGTGTGTGTGTTGACACAATTCCAAAAGGACTCAAATTCAGGGATACTAGAAGGCATGCCTGGTTTACAAGGCCATAGGATGCAGTTACTGAGTGGATAAACTGTCCAGGAACCAGATTATTACTGAGTAAAATAAATCACTTATAGAAGCTTTGAAAATTCTTCAGATGGCGTGACTGAGTGTGGTGGGGTCTGCAGTTGAGGTCTCTTTAAAACTGCTACAACTTGGGCTGAAATGCCAGCAGAGCTGCAATACATGACTAAGGTTGAAGCACCAATATCCCCATCTGATGAGACTAAGGAGATCCCCAGAATGTGCTTAACTGCATGAGATCCTGATTTATTATTTTTTAAAGCAAAAGAAAAATATCATTAAAAATTAACTTTTCTAAACACTATGGGCTTGATTGTGACTAAGCTTGCACAGGGTCAGGAGAGAGTGGAAGAAACCATGACCAAGGTCTAATCAGACTCGTTGCCCCACAAGGAGTACAAGGATTGATTGTGTCCAGTTCTGATGGTGGAGCTAACCTCCTACAAAGTAGGGAAAGAGGAGAGAGTGCAGGGCTATAACCCACCCACTACACATTAGCTGGTCAGTTTGGGCTGGTGCAGTGGGGGAACACACGCTTCAGCCTTTCAAAGGGTGTAGCAGACATTGCTCTGGCTGATCGCTTTGTGTCTGTCTATGGTATGTTTGAAAAAGGCATTTCTTCTACACCAAATAAGCAAGTCATTAAATAATGTAGACATGCTTATGCACCCTCTTAAATGTATTATAGCATAAATATGCTGTAAAACATTCCATGCTATAGATGAATCGAATGAATGAATGTTTATCTCAAGCTTGAAAAGGCTTAGCCTCACACTTGGCCATGGATCTTAGGTGTCACTCATGTTGCACACCTGATTGCGTGTCACTCATTCCATGAAAAACCATGCATAGGCACATGTGACGTGTTTGGTAACATTTTACTGTTTCCCGGAAGCTATGTTAATGGTACTAATAAGTAAGAGGCATCAAGTTACAGGTATCTTATAGCTGAGTCACTACTAAGAGCTGACTTGTGTCACCTTATATAAGTGATACGTGACATACAAAAATATGACATGTATAAGTATATATAGTACACGTTAGTATTCAAATCATTAGAGTTGATTGATTAGAATGATGTCACACGTTAACATGCATGTACAGTAATAGTGCACATGCAAACAATATTCCTAATTAACTTGTTTATTGGAAACAAACACATGGAAATGAACAAATAAAATTTGGTTGGATTTCATTGTAACATTGTTGACGGGTTTCTCCTAATCTCTTAAATTCTTGGACTTTTCATTTGCAGCATCTCTCTAATAAAATATAAATACATGTGTTAATATAGTCGCTGAGCCTGTGCAATAGCAGTTGGCTTTGAGGAGCTCTTCTTTATCTTCTCATACAACATGAAAGGGAAGGCAGGAGCTCATAAAGCACTGTTGTTTTCCTTTGATACATCTTGCTCCAGGGAGCAGGAAGGAATGTGAAAACAGGTGTCTCACAGATTTCACCATTCTCATTATATCCTGTTGTACCAGCTCCAGACATCATAAAGCGTAACTATTTGCAGCAGTGATCTAGCTCAGAAAGGCCATTACACATAGGAAGACAACTGTACGAATAGAGCCCAAACTTGACAGTATACACATGTGTTTTGGTGGTTGGGGTTGGGTTGGGGTGGTTTTGTTTACCCTCTTGTGCTGACAAGTTTAAATATTCCAGCCCTGGATGAATTTTACACCCCCCAATTTTGTGCATGTAACTCACTCTGTGCAAAACAACCATAGTGCGTATAGTATTGTGGCACTTGGGTGCTCAGCTGCTCTGTCCAAAATCAGGGTCCTAATGCAGATTTTTCCGTGAACCACGAAAAGGGGGTTGAGATGATAGGCTCCTTTGGACAGCCATAATTGGTCTTGTTTTGAAATAGAGAAGGGTTACTTGTGGGTGGCTGCAAATATAAACCTAGGAGAATATAGTTTCCTTAATCACACAAGTTCTAAGCGTGCCATGCTGCAAGCTGAGTGTATACAAAGAAATATGCAGTGAAAACTGTTCAATATAGAATATGTTGAGAAATACCATAGATAGGAGAGATGTTGCAGGGAAAATTCTTCTAGCTTTGGGGGGATAAATGTTGGTTTTAATTTTCAGGTCATTAGTAGAATGCGGAATTTCATCTGTGTTTTGAATTGAAGAACCTCATTCCTTCCTCAGCTGCAGTGCTGGGACTGCAGTTCTCCAGTCCAAAATACCCCAGAAGAGAAATAAATTAAAGCCTTGTATTTATTTTATTTATATTACAAATATGGAAAGCATAAACATTACTTCACAAAAATATCATCATTTCAGCACAGGCGTAAATATTATGATAGCCAATGAGTATGTAGAAATAAACTTAGGTATACAGAACTCTGTGGACATAACCCATCATTTATACACCAGAGAATCTGATTCTAGTGCATTTCACCATAGTGAAGCTGAGACTGCAAATCCTTGTGGGTTCCAGTTCTGGTGATAGTGAAATTTGGCTTAAAGTGAATGTGTGCCAAGATGCGGGAGGAGGAGCATGCAGCTGTCTTACACCTTCTGTGACCCCGATTCAACAGCCTATCCCTACTCAGCAATGTACATGCTTAAAATTAAGCATGTGCTTTGCTGAACTGGAAGGAACATTTTAAGTGCATAAATGCTCTGATGAACTGTGGCCTGTGCCATAAATTGTACTATGTCCAAAGCAATGATGCTATAAACAAAATAGCAGTACCCCATAGCACTCCACTGAAGAATTCGCTGCCACATGTAACGGAAGAACCAAGCACACGTGAGCAAGCAAGCTCACACCACAGATAGATTCTATATTAAATCCTGTACGTGTCTGCCAAAGTGAAATAAAATTTTGCTTTGGTTATTAGGGTGAGTGTATCAGGGCTCTACTTCTCTCCAGAAGTCTCTCTAGCATGGGATTCCAATAGATGGTCTATGGTGTGGAAGCAGAGAAAAAACTGACAGGAAGGGGATGCAATGCATGACAGTTCTTTCTCTGCTTCCACAACGGCCTCCCCACATATTTGTAATTCCCAGTTATGCATATTATTATTGATGCTACAAATTACTTTTAGGAGAGTGAGTGTTTGGGCATTAAGAGCACAGCAAAGCTGTGTATCTAATTTATGAGGACAACCTACTGCAGCTCCACAGATTGTCAGTGATGTTACTTACATGTTGTGTATTGCGTATGGATACTGTGCAAGTGAATTTGAAATGTATGTGTGTGGGGGGGGAGGGGGTGAGGAGGCAGGTATGAGAGCTAGAGATCTATCTGCTTTCAGATTACTGCTGGCAAACACTACAAAGATTTTGATTTTTCAGGGCTGCCTGGAAATCATTTCTCAGTTTTGCTTTATGTGAATTTTTGATTTGGGATTCAGATGACCTTAAAAACTCAAACATATCCCAAGCTGTTGATTTTTGGATGGTTTCATGCATGCACACCCCACCTAGCTTTGTACAATTTCCGTAGATTGGCCCAGGGTCATTAAGAGCTCAACTCTGCTTCATTCAGTTCAGGTTGGTGCACCTTGGCGAACCTTGCCTTTGTTTCAGGTTTGTGATGAAGCATGAAAGCAAGAAATCTAGCCTACTTATAGATCTTCTTGTACAAATCTCTCTCAGCTCCACTCCCAACTCCATTTAAGTTCATTGCATCCATTTCTGTGTGTGCTTGATTCCCAGTAGAGCCTTCATAGAGAGGGGGAGCTCTGTAATGCAGCAAATGGGTTCACATTAAAACAGAGTCATTTCCTGAAACAGAACACACTGCAGAGACAACTGCAGATCCCTGCCCGCTGGCACAAATCCTCCCGAGCGACACTACCAGTCGAGGACATGAATGGTTAGTGCCCTTAATTGTCTTACCAGTTTCTCTTGTCATGAGCTGGTTTTTTCATCCTAGATATGAGCGTTGCTCTTCTTCATTACTTTCTCACTCAGCGCCTGGCTTAGATTTTTTCTGGAAGATGGTGTAGGTGGTTGTAACTTGCCCAATTAAGTCAGCATCCTTGTAGTCTGTTGTAGAATGTGAAAACTTCTTGTTTTATATCTTGTGACTTTGCTTTATGGAAACGAAGGAGATCAAGTGAAAAGGTCAGGGTCACTCTGTGTTTTAACATTTTTGTTGTTATATTGAGAGCTCCCTAACTACTTTAGGTGTCACAGCTTCAGTCATTTAAGAGGTCGGCTAAAAGCTACAACCCCGTACGATAAAGCTAAGCAATCATTCTGACCTTTAAAACTGGAGATAATGGCCAAGGTTGTGACATGGTGACCTTTCAGTCCAAAGTGGGCGGTGATAGTTCATTTTCTGTGACATGATTTTGGCTTTTTATTCTTAGACACTTTTTTTTTAATTGGAAGTATGTACAGTGTGAATCAGCTTCACCCCCGAACTCTGGTGGCTGTTAGTAATGTGCAAATGTCTGGCGGCACCGCGGTTATAAATGAGCTCGCTCACAAGACCATACTGCATATCTGCACTAATTGCCCTTGCTGCAGATATAAAGAATTAAGGCTTAGTTTAATCATGAATACTGGCTTTAACAAATGGGCCATTCTTGAATGGCCCAACTCATCATGCAAGTTTCTTAGAGTTTTACAGAGATGGAGGCTCAGATGAAATGTGAGGTGAGTAAGATCTGATAAGTCCTCCATCAAGGAGCTCTGATTTGGAGGATCTTATCCTTTTCTATCTTGTGTTATCTAAATTTGGTGTTTTTTTGAATTTTTAAAACCATAGATTACTGACAGGCAACATCCTCACCCTCCTCCAATCCCGCAAAAAACTCCAGAGGTGTTCAGATCCGGAGTTGGGGTTTGGGTAAACATCTAAACATTACTGATAAAAAAAATGAACAGGCTTTTATTGATTTCTTGATTTTTATCATGCTTCATGCCTTCTCATGATTCACAGCGTAAGTGATCACCATCTGGGATCAGTAAGAAGACCAAGTGCATTTGTGATAGAGTAGTGTAACTGACCATGCGCATATGGCTGTGGGGAGGGAGTGATGTTCCTCTGAGGCATCTGGTGCAAGCCACTGTCAGAGACCTGATACCATAGTTAATGTTATTATTTATTTATTAATTTGTATTATCATAGTACACAGCAGCCCCAGTTGTTGGCTTGTTCCAGGGTGGCAAACCTAATGTTCTTAAAATTAAATCTATTTTTCTGAAGATTCCTCACGATACCCTAGCTAGCAAAAGATCTTTTATTCCCATTCTCTATTAAAAAGATGTCAAATTGCACTCTGCTTTTGGCCCTGTGCCCTATGCAATGCTGTTAGGCCAGGAAAGGCTTTTAGATGGTGCTGTTTTCCTGACCACCTCTGTTGGCCTCCCGGAGTCTATTTTCAGTGCGACTGTTAATGTCCACACTGTATTTCTGCTGTAACCTGTTTTCTGGATCAGCATACTAGTGTTTTGGACTCTCTTCTGACTGAACAAATCTCCCCCAACTGATGATATGGTATTTCTGACAACTAGTGACAGGAAGATTTTCAACAGAGTTTAGAAATGTCTCTTCTATGCCACTCCTTGCTTGAATGAAGCATCGGAGATTGCCAGCGAGATGGAACACTATTATGTTAGGCCCTGTTGTCGCAATGGCCCGTGCATAGGTCTGTCAAGGCCAGTGGGGCTCTGCCCAAATGCAGGATTCTGCCTACAGTGAGCTCATTGCAGGACTTTGTTGGGAATGAGTGGAGGAAACTCCTTTTCTAATGGTGTCTCCCCTCAGGTTAACTGTATTGTAACTTGTGAACCTCAGCTATTCTGGAAATTAGTTTAGTGCAAGAGCTGTAAAAGTGTGGAGCAGACTGCTGGTGATCTGCTAATAAAGGAAGATTATCCCCATACTTGTGTATGTGACAGGATTTACTTCTGCAAGATGTTCCACCCATCAAGCAAAATCTGTCTAGCGGAGTGTTATTGACCTACTGTATCTATTTAGGTGTTCTGTCGTCATTGTGGTTGAGTCTGAGCACTTAAATCCAGCTTTTATCAATACTATATAGTTATTATTATTATTTGTATTACATGCAAATATTCTGCATCATTGCACAATGCAGAATTTGCGCAGAATTAATGTTCTGCACAGAATGTCATTTTCCCCTGCAAAACTGGTGCTGCAGTGCTGTTGGCTACCACTAGGGGCCGCTGGACCCAACAGAGCCCAGCTCTCCTGCTTGCAAATACAGGACACTGCTGAGTGGGAGGGTTCCAGGCAGCTGCAGTTCCTAGCATGTCCTGAAGGAAGAGGGAGAAAGTATGGGTGTCTGGGCTGGGGGGCATCCTGCAGCTGGGCTCTGGTGGGTAGGGAATGCGGGAGTCTGGGCTGAGGGTGCCCCATGGTTGGACTCTGGGGAGGAGTGGGTGTGAGTATCTGAGACGAGAGAGGCAGAGTTTTCCTCCAAGATATGCCCAGCTGGCACATCTGACATATCCAGACTGAAGAGTCCAACAAAAGCATAACAGAGAACAGGAATTGGGTTGTGTAGGAGTTTCTTTAACTCTCTGTTCCTGGGGGAATGTTTTTTGTTGTCTGTATTGTTACAGACATAATAGCTGACAGGTATTTTGATATAAATTACCAAAATAATTGAATCTGGTGTGATTATATTGTGTTATTTTGACAAATAGAATATGCAATTTTGCAGAATTTTAAAATATTGTGTGTGGAATTTTTAATTTTTTGGCACAGAATTCCCCCAGGAGTAATTACAGTAGATCCTAGAGGCCCCAACTAGGACCAGCTTGGAGCCTCGTGCCACATATTGTACAAATACATAGTGAAAGACAGTCCCTCCCATTAAGAGCTTACAATCTAAATAGGCAAGATGGACAAAGGGTGGAAGGGGAAAGAGAGGCACATAGAGGTGAAGTCGTTTGCCCAGCATCACACAGCCGACCAGTGGTAGAGCAGAGAATTCCACCAATCTGCCTACTAGAGCATAAGGCCTACTCTGCCCGCCCGTTGTTGAAATAGGATTGGGTCTGAGAATTCTCAAAAAATTCAGATGGACCCACACCTTTCTGGAAAACGCAAAGAGTCTGATTAATTTTACTTTTTTAAAACATCGTTTGTCCTGGCTATCTTTGTACTTCTTGGTTGTGGCTGAGACTGAAACTGGAAGTGTTTAAATGTCTGTGATAAAGGTTCCTCTGACTGTGTTTCCCAGGCAGAAGTAAGGAGCACGTCCAGTCCTTTCAGGCCTGTTCTCAGATCCCAACCCAGATTCAAAAGATTCTGAGCATCTATAATTTTCACCTGTTAGTCCAAACTGATCTGACACTCCAGGCCTTTTGAGTGTCACCTAGTATGAAGTTAGAAAAGTTTTAATGTAAGTTTGTACAGAATTTGGTGTCAAATATTATTGTCCTTCTGGAATCTGCCCCTTCAAAAAGTTCCCCTGTAATGTTAATTGCTAGCTCTTGCCTGTCTATATGGGGGACTTTATGTTGACAATGTAAGAAAGCACGCTGTTGTAACTCCTTATTACAGTGACAATTTGACAAGAGAAAGTTTGACCATAAAGAGCCCTCTACTGCAGCATCCCAGACAAACTTTGGCTGCCTTTCCATTAGGGAGGAAATGTACTTTTATTTCAATTTACTTCACAAGTCCAAATTCTCCTTATTTGCCATGGAACCATGTCACGGATTATACTCTTTTGTTCCTGATGATTCAAGTAGCGAAGCTTGCAGGGAAGCTCCATCCGCATCATATAAGTTCCCCTGGCTTAACAAGAAGTGTGACAATAGCACTCTGCTACTTCCATTGTTTGTACCACATCTTCACACCCACTAACTCAGGAACAGAGTGAATGAAATGTGCTTGGATGCTTTGTGGCCAAAAAAAAAAAGGAAAAAAAAAAAAAGCTTTTTGCTGCTTTAGAGGAAGCGGTCTTTTTTATCTTTGTTGTTTTTGTAGTCACATAATGGTGTTACCCTTGTGCTTCATAGACAAGTATCAAAGGAGGGATCTAGCCAGGAAAAAAATACCCCCGGGATATACACTTTTAGGCCTAGTTTACACTATAAGTATAACTGAATTAGGCATTCCAGTTAAAATACTGTTATTCCTTGATCCATCTGCAACATGGTTAAAATTAGTAGTGGTCCTGTAATCAGGCAAATCTCTGGATTTGTGCACTCACAATCTTGGCATAGACATCCTAGAAGTGTCTAAGGGACACAGCTATTTTGAGGCCAGCTCTACGCTAGAAAAGGCTTGCTGGTATATCTGTGCCAGCAAAAGTTTCTAGTGTAGCTTTAGCCTGAGGGATGTAATTGAAATCTCAGAAGAATGGTCACTCTCAAAGGTTTCAACCCAAGTTGAATACAGAAGTTATTTCCACTAATTTGGGCCTAAGTTTAACAATAACAGCTTGTGATATTTTGACAGCATAAGCACAGTTGAGCTATGGTCAAATCTAAATCTAGCTCTTTGTCCTCAGACCAAATTCTAGCCTAAACCTAATCTGAATCTAAATGTGGTTTCCTCAGCCTATCTACATAAGCCCATTTTACATGTCTTTTTAATTATAAATATATCTTACCTTCTCCTTCCACGCTCAAAAGAAATTACATATTTCACATGCAGCCCAATTCCCTTTATGCCATCATAATCAACTACATATTTTGGGTGTCATCTATTAAGGACCCCACGCAACCCACAACTATACTCCTGCTCCAGTTGGACCCTTTAAATGTTCTAGTGAGGTGTTGCTAATGCTAGTGCTTGTATTGAAGTTCAGAATAGCTGCGGATGGTGTTTTTCGTAACAGCCACTGTAAAGAGTTTACCACCGGAAACCTTGATTTTACATGTAAGGGGAGTTGGAAGAAGAGGAGAGAGCTACAGTATGGGCCAGATTTTTCAAAAACGTTGTGTTTAGATTTTCAAGTCCTCGGCACCCAGCATTGGGGCTAGATTTGGAAAAGTGCCCAGCGGTTGCCGTTGTGATCCTTACAGTCAGATTTTCCAAAGAGCTCAATGCCCACCAGGCTGAGTGCTTCTGAAAATCTGGCCACTTATTTTGGTGCTGAAATGGGAGCTGAGCTCTTTGGAAAATCTGACCTTATTGGAGGGG